TTTTAATCAGGTTTCAGCGATAGTCGAAACATTCTGTCGAATATCAATAGAAACACGCGGTTTTATCCCCTCCCCCAAGAAAACTGGAGGCTCGGGACTAACTCACGCTGATATTATCCAGAACTCTCGTGTTGACGCATGAAATATGGTTTATAAGATTAAAAAACACAGATGCTGTAACTTACCATACTAACAGCCTAGGTACGAGCTAAAAGGCCCAGACACGTGTTTCACCGGTATTCTGCCGCTGGTTGACAGCTGCGAGGGGTCCGACTCATCAGTGGGTCTCTCAGCTTTCCCTGTCTGCTTTCTGGTTGATATGCCGGTTTTTGAAAGTTCAGCTTTTTAATTTCCTGAGAAATTAATTTCTGTTCGCGATGTACATCAGTTGGTTTATAAGATTAATAAAAACTTATGTACCAGGAGTACATTTTTCGTTTTTGGGGCAGATGTAATTCCTCTACTTGGATAAGTGAGGTACCAGCTCACAAGTTTTTAAATTCTACGCATATTATCTCAAATCTTGAACACTGTCCTGTGTTGGATGACCTTAGTTGCATTCCCAACCAAACCCAGAAAAATAAACAATTTCTTTCGCCTAGCCCGTACATTATTCACCTTGAAGGATGCCTTTATGTTACTTTGTCTTTTCTTACACAAAAGATGGACAATGTGCTGTACGCACGACTAATTGCCCTCAACTCGGCCTTTTTTGACTTTGGGGGCTGCAATTTCTCAGCTCGAAACATGTATCAGAAGGACCGCTCCACTGCACAGAGCAAAGAAGGCAGCGGAAGGGTGGCAGTTGCCAAGCACATGGGTCTCACTCACTGCTACACCATTGAAGCCAACTATAACTCAGGTAAATAGCTTTGTGTGTTTACAGTTACCTGCTTTTCATATCTGGACATTCTCGAAGCAGTAAGATTATTAGGGTACTATTAATCAGACTGCTACGCTAATAATGAACTAAAACTTAGTTCTGAGACCTGTGGACGCGCTAGGCTCCGGCTTTTTAGTTACATCACTCTAAATCAGTGCCGGGCAAACTGTGCTCGCTTGTGACACATTCATCGAAGGACATTTTTACTGATCACAATTTTAGTAACTCCTCCCCTCTTCTTCAAGCCAATCCGCCAGCTTGTGGACAGTGAGCGGTTCGGGCGGTGGCTGCCGCCATGCACGTACTAGCCAGCCAACTAATGACGGGCGTCCTTTATTAGCGTATGTGTACCATCTCAGTTATTTTCACACCACAGTTTATACAAAAACCTCATAACTGCTGAGCCGATGCACCTGCATGCACCATGTTTTGCTTGCTGCCATTCACTCGCTCTCCCTCTTGACTCGTTATGTTTTTGAAACCGGTGGTCATGGGGCGTAGGTCACCCACTTTTGCAGCAGTATTGTCGGTCGACTAGGCTCGTGTTGATTATGGCACTTCTATAACCTGTCTATCCAGCATTCACCGTTCGCGTTTCTTCCCTTCCTCTCTGCCCCATTTTTAATTTTCAATGAAACTTGCGAAAATTCCCATTGAACATTTCAGAAGATAAATTAACGAAAATACGTTTGTTTTTTAGTATTCCGGCAAGATAGGCAAACCGCAGTATAGCCATTTCGGGCTGTTGGCCCTCGTCAGCTACGGGCAGCCAACTCTAGTGCGGCCACTGAAATTGCCGCCACACTCGAGTTTCTAACTCGCGCCTCGCCGGTCAGGGGCAGACGTCCTAACCATAGAGCCATCGAGTTCGATGTCTTGCCGGTTGTTGATCAGGAGTATATAGTATTTTGTTGGTACACCGATCTGTCTCTCAGGATGTGCCCATCCTGGATTGATGCTTTACAAAATCGGTCCGACCGACTGTTTTCTATAAATTTTCGTCAGGCCTCTACATTTATATTGTTCATTACTATATAAATGTAAAGGTCTCACGAGAATTAATCGAAAACAAGCGTTTTTTCGCCAATTTACCTTCTGAACTTTTCTTTGAAACATTGATTCATGTCTTGGGGCTCTGACGCAGACGGGGGAACGCTGCCCGGACTGTTGCGTGAACCCTGAAACCAGCAGGTCTGACTACAGTCAAACACAATAATCTCATCGCATATGTTGATTCTGGTCCTCGGTTTTATGCACGAGAGCGAACGTACTAGAATGGCCATGTTGAGAACGGAGAGGAAGAGGATAAAGGCGTATGGCCAGACGAAGTGCATGCGGGTATGATGAAGAGATAGAATGCTACGTTTGTGTATTCGGCCAGATAAGCTCCCTTCAAATGCATCATTATGATGAGAAATTCGGTCTTGTCATAAAAAACACAAACAAACGCCTTTCTTTGTGGTTTTTCCGATCTTCGTTACACCTGCTCTTTTTCTCCTTCAGGAAAGTTAACCGTCTGGTATGAATCTTAAAGTTGGGCTGCTTGGAAGTATATATGTGTCCAATTATAAACTCCGGATTACGTTATGTAGTGTGACTAGACGCTTCGACATGCTGGTATCAGATTTTCAAGGTCGTGATAGGGGGAGAAAATGGGTGTCAGAATCCTTTCGCTTTTTTTCTCCGACTGTGTTCTTTGCCGACTGGCACTGTATACTACCGAATCTCCCAAGTTACTGATTTGGTGAAGAGAGTAAGGTTGTGCGCGATTCTACAGTCTAAATAGGGTTTAGGCTAAATTCTTTTTATTGATTGATTTGTTTCGGAACATTGTAAGTAATTAGGGCCCTTTCCGGAATCCACTGGGACGAATTTAACAGAGTGGAAGATGTTCTGATTGCTGATCCTCCAAACCTCCTAAACTCCTTGAACTGTTTGAGTTCGTGGGTGCTAAAACAAAACGGCTATTAACTAGCCATTTTTCGTCGTTTTCTCGAAGCTCCAGCACCGGAGCACGAAGCATAGGCTCTTGTCTCTATCGATAGATGTTCTTCACCGCAGACTGAATGCTGCGTTTTCCTGCGTGGGAATCCACTGGCGCAGCTTTACTTTCACATTGCAAGGAGATTTCAGTTGCAATCACTGGAACAGTAAGTTCGTTTGTCTGTACTTTCAAAATTGTAGAGGAGCATATCATCAGAGACTGCCTGAAACCAACAACGAGTGAACAGTTTGTAGTCGAACTATAAGCGAAAGGGGAAGAAGTAACGTCAGTACTTAGGCCGGGTTCGATCCGCTCAGTCGTTATAAAGGTCACACTGAACGACGGCTCCGCCCGCGAATACTCCAGCAGGCCGT